GATTCGTTATCGAACCTGAATTTGTTGTCACCATCATCTCGACCATCCTATTACTATGACTCATAGTAGTTCGACCATCCTATTACTATGACTCATAGCCTCTTGTAGTGTCCACATTCGTACTGATAAATATTGGCTACATTCGCGACGGTAAAGTAAGTAAAGGTTCATCGAACGCCCCAAAATGCCAACCTGACTCCGACATATAGTATATATTCTAAAGGACCGAAAAAAAATTAAAGTATTTTTGTTCAATATTAAATGAAGCTTTTCAATTATATATTAATTATTTAGTAATATTAAATAATAAGTTTTAAATCGTTACTCAAATTTCCGTAAAAGTATTTCTTTTTGAAATGAGATCCATATTCGTACGAAGAAATCGATTGTTTTTAGTACGAGATTCATATCGATACGAAGAGATCGATTTCTGATATTTCGATACAATTCGATATACGATTAAAACTCGTACAGCGGTGTTAATAAATATCGATGTCGTATTAATGCAATATCAGTATCAATCTGATTACTGTTATGTATTTTCACTTTATAAATCTCTGACTTTAAAAAGTAGATTTTGTCTGTGTATTATTCATTTATGGTTGAAAAAGTATATATAATTCAAACTACAGTTACTCTACAAATTTCAACGAGAATATATCACCTTTAATTGACGTTTCTGTTAGACACAGGTATGTTGTCCCAATGTTCAAAAATATATCTTTTACGTTCTTCAACGTAATAGAGATTATGATCATTTTTTATGATTTACTATAGAAGTCTTTTGTATTATTATCTGCATTATTACTCTGATCAATTAATTAAGATGATACAGTGATTTATAATTTACAAGTTTACATCTCTTTCATAGTTAAGTATATTCATTTTATATATGTTTTCATAATTTAATCAAACCATCTTTGTTGAATTTAGGAATGAGTCATATTAAGAACCTACGTCATACTATGTCTTGTTTAAATATTTGGAGATTGAAAAGACAGATAGTAATCAAGAATGGATATAGAGATATTCATCATTCGTAAGTATTCTTATTTATAAAAGCAGGATCTAGATATGTTAGATATGTTAAAAATCTCACAACCATGTCAATGTTAATGTTAATGAAAAATGCTTTAGGTGTAAAGTATTAGTAGTGGGTGGTGGTACTGGAGGTTGTAGCATGGCTGCAAAATTCGCTGATACATTTAAAGACCAAGTTGTTATAATAGAACCAAATGAAGTAAAACATCTTTTGTCAAATTTTTATTTCAATAATAAAAATATTGAATATTTTTATAATTAAATAAAGTATTTTATGGTATATAAATAATGCAGAGTAACATTTTATAGATACATTATTATCAGCCAATGTTTACTTTGATCGGCGGTGGCATAAGATCTTTTGAACATTCAAAAAAGTTAATGAAAGATACTTTACCAAAGAATGCTAAGTGGTTTCAAGAAAATGTAATGAGTTTTGAACCACCACGTAATCAAGTGACTATGAGCAATGGAGATACTGTTCAATATGAAATCATGATCATTGCAATGGGTTTGCAATTACATTGGGAAAAAGTGAGGTTGGACAAAATATTTTATACCTTTTAACTAATAAATAAAAAAATTAATTTTTTGTTTTACACATATAGATACCAGGTTTAATAGACAGTCTTAAAGATAATATGTCAGGTGTTTGCTCGATTTATGGACCTGAGACTGTTATAAATGTGTTTCCAAAAATTACAAGAACCAAGGGTGGTACTGCAATATTTACTTTTCCAAACAGTCCTGTTAAGTGTCCTGGAGCACCTCAAAAGATTGCATATATTGCAGAAGAGTATTTTCGAAATGTAAATAATTATAATATCTCTTAAATCTCAGTATGCATATGTTCATATTTATTTTTTTTCCAAAGCAAAAAGTACGCGATAATATAAAGGTTGTGTATAACACTGCTTTACCAGTTATATTTGGAGTTAAAAAATATGCTGATGCTCTTTGGGATGTTTGCAAAAGAAGGAATATTACTGTAAATGTTCAAACTAATCTGATAAAGATAGATCCAGCTACAGAAGAAGCTGTATTTCAAAAATTAGATGGATCAAATGAAACATTTGTTGAAAAAGTATATCTTTATTTTTTATATAAAGTGAGCTTATATATGTCTGTAATATATAATTACAATTTACAATATCTTTCCATTCAGTATTCACTACTTCATGTATGTCCACCAATGGGCCCACCTGATATTTTGAAAAAACATTCTTCATTAACAAACGAAGTAGGATTTTTGTCAGTTGATCCTAAAACTCTACGTCACACAAAGTACTCGAACATATACGGAATCGGAGATTGTATTAGCGCACCAAACTCTAAAACTATGGCAGCAATAGGTACTGTATCAGTCTTTAATAATTGTTGAACTATAGTTTATTTCAGATTTTTCTTTTCACAGCTGCTCAGGGAAAAGTATTGTATAAAAATATTATGGATGACTTGGCTGGTAAACCAATGATTATGGCCTACAATGGTTATTCATCCTGTCCTTTAGTTACTGGTTATAGCAAGTGTATTTTGGCAGAATTTGATTATAATTTGCAACCATTGGAAACATTCCCCATAAATCAAGGTCGAGAATATTATTTCACGTTTATACTAAAAGCCTACGTATTCCCGCTTTTATATTGGACCTTAATGATTCGGTAAATTTGTTGTAAATTAGGAATAAGTTTGCGATTTTCGCATGGAAAAAGTATAGACCTTCATAAATTATTATAATTTACAGCGGAAAATGGGATGGACCTGAATTTTTCAGGAAATATTCAAATGTGATAAAAAAGAAGGAAGTAGCTAAAATTTAAATAGTATTTCGACTGAATATTTAAATCTTAATGTATAATAATTGAAAATATCTATACATAATAATAAATTATAATATATATAATGAAGATGTATCATATATTTTTGCAACATAATCATTTTATAAAATTATGTAAAGTTGTAAATAATGAATTTACATATATGTGCAATTTAATTGGTTAATTTTGATTTTCATATAAATGAAATTTTTTTTTATATCTACTAAGTTATTTACAACCAATTCCTTTATTAGTTTGCAACCAGATTATAAGCAAATGCGATGTAAGTATAGGAACTAAAATTAAAGAGTTGCAACATGTAGTAAAGATACTTCTTTAGAAATGACAAATTTTACAATTAGTTTAACCTATTCGGCGATTGAATTAATTGGCTGGAAAACAGCATGATTTACGTAGTGTAGTAGCAGTGTAGGCAGACACGTCAAGCTTGACATAAACATGGATGGTCAGCTATCGGTAGGTTTCTTAATGCGTATGCTACATTTTTTTATATAGATTTGGTAGCAAAGTGCACTTATTGTTAATATATTCTTGATATAAGTATCGTCTCGTGCAATCGTAATCATGAATCGTGCTGGATCATCGAAAGTTGTACAGCATAACCTCTCTCCAATGCTTCGGAGTGACCAGGATCGCGAATTTCAGCAACGCGTATGATTTCTACTGATTTTAAGTTTGCTTTCCGTATTTGTCCCCATTTATTAAAGATGATTAAATGAGAGTGTTTTCTAACCTCTTTCAATGCAGTGTAACACTGCGTAACATGTGTAATTATTAAACGAAATCATATTTGAGTCCTATATGGGTGCATACATGAGAAAGATTTTTTAATAAGTTATGATTTAGCAAGATATTTTTACACATATATTGTATATTTATAGGAACCAACACTTTATACCGTCAAGGGTATGGTCATTTTGGACAATGATGGTAACAGAATATTAGCTAAATATTATGACAAACTCATATTTCTTACATCGAAGGAACAGAAAGCGTTTGAAAAAAATCTTTTCAACAAAACGCACAGAGCAAATGCAGAAATTATAATGCTGGATGGTTTAACATGTGTTTATAGAAGTAACGTAGATTTATTCTTTTATGTTATGGGAAGTTCTCATGAAAATGAGGTATGTGCAAACCCTAAATATTCAGTTATATTAGTAATAGAAGATATTGTTATATTTTAATTCTTGAATTTTATTTTAGCTGATCTTAATGAGTGTATTAAATTGTTTATATGATTCAGTGAGTCAAATTTTAAGAAAAAATGTTGAAAGAAAAGCTGTTTTAGACAGCTTAGACATAGTCATGTTAGCAATGGATGAAATTTGTGATGGAGGGTAAATAAAAGTGTTTAAACAATATGCTAACATTAATAAAAAGAGAAATAAAAATTTGAAACTTTTCAGAATTATTCTTGATGCTGATGCCTCGAGCGTGGTTCAAAGGGTGGCATTAAGAACAGATGATATCCCACTTGGGGAACAAACAGTCGCACAGGTAATATTTAATATTAGGTATAAAATATTTAATTGATTTAATGGCATAACAAAGTTTATGTCCATTTACCACATAGAAACATTTTCGATTTTTTTATTTTGTGTTCATGCATCATTCTACATTCTTCGCATAGTCTCTGATTGTAAGTTTTTGTGATTCTGAAATGCAGAACTATCAACAATCTTTCATAGGATTTTCATTTGTGTCATTAAATATTTTGTTTTTGTTCTAGGTTTTACAATCTGCGAAAGAACAACTCAAGTGGTCTTTACTAAAATAAGATTTATATACAGGAAATTATATTAAATACCTAAAGTTATTACTTTAAAATATAAAAATTGTATGAACCTATAATGTTTAAATATTAAAGAACAACAAATTCTTTATTAGATATTTTGTAAATTCCGTATTTAAGTTATATTCCCATTTGGTTACAGAAACAATTAAATGTTTTGTATTAAATTCATAAATTATAGTAATTATTTATAAGATTTATAATGGAAACTATGTATTAATATCAATATGTTCAGTATTATCATTATATTCTTTATTTAGTACTTATTTTGTATGTTGCATCCAGATGCATATTAAAGAAAAAAATAGTTTTTAAATTACTGTTTCTTAAAAGCATGCATTTCTTTGAAATGTTACGTATTACACGCATCACACATGAGCGTAATATTGGAAGCCTTCTTCATTCTACACTCCCTATAACTCGTTTAATTTTGTTCTGGAATAAACGAATGCCGACATACAGTTTCATTAGTAGTTGCAATAGAAACAACGATTTACGACATATATAAAATAATTACTTTTGTAAATCATGTAAGTAACGTTTAATAATGTTCAATCAGCAGATGGCGAAGATTAAAAATTTAAATCTCTCAGCTCATAAGCGAAGTTTTTTAACATTTAAGAGCTTAAAGGATAACCTAGGACTTAAGGAATAATTCGAGATTAATGTAATATGTAATTAGAATAATTTGTCTAACAATTCTTCCTGGCCTTAGTTATATATAATTGGTTATAAGTGTTTCCGTCGATTAACTACAATTTGTAAATCTTTATACACACACTTCGTACGTTAAAAGGAATGTAAAAAGAAAGTTAAGGAGCTAATTCAAAATACGCAATCATAAAAGTTCGCAAATTAATCCTTTTAATTAGTGTATTTTTACTAATGAAAATTTGTTCAATTTGTGAATAGTTTCCTAGCAGGGACTCAGTCCGATACCTGGGCATGACCCTGGACAGGAGACTAACGTGGAAAAAACACATCTCAGGTAAAACGAAGCAACTAAAGGACAAACTAAAAAAATTCTATTGGCTCACGGGCCGACGCTCCAAACTAAACATACAGAATAAAATTATCCTCTACAAGACCGTAATAAAACCTGTCTGGACCTACGGAATCCAATTATGGGGAACAGCAAGTACCTCCAACATTGAAATACTTCAACGCTTCCAATCGAAAACGCTAAGATCCTTAATAGACACACCTTGGTATGTTACCAACGAAACAATCCATCGCGACCTCAAGATACCCATAGTCAAAGAGGAAATAGCAAAATATAGAAATAGATATAGCAAAAGAGTCAACAAACACCGAAACCCCCTAATCACTGGACTACTTGATACGACGGACCAGATTTGCAGGCTGAAGAGGCACTATCCGCTAGACCTAAACGCTAGATTCATTTAGTTATCCAAATTAAGCATATTCACTTATTTATAATACTTATAAATTATACTTATGTATAATAAGTATTAACTTATTATAAATAAACAGCCATGTCACTGCGCCACGCCAGAAAAATTATTGAAAATTCTCAACGCGAGAATTGATTGTAATTTCAACAAATAAATAAATAAAAAAAAAAAAAAATTTGTGAATAGTAAAATACTATCACAATGCAGTGGTGAAAAGTGGAACTAATAGCTATTGTTATCTTCCTAACACACTATTGCTCTCTTCGTTTAATACTAGACATGTCTTTTTCGCACACTATCGCCCCTCTTCGTCTACGGACAAGTCATATGCTGTCATCTATCTTTACATACTCTAAGTTGCAGTTCCTCCAATATCGGATAGATGATAGCAGCACACGGCTCGTCCGATATTCGTTCGCAAGGAGCGCGATTTTGGCCGGGTTATGTGCTGCTATCTATCTAAGATCAAAGAAACTGCAATTTAGAGTATGTATAGATATGTATGTAGAGTATGTATGTATGTCAAGAGTCAAAGAGGGGCGATAGTGTACGACGAAGACATATTTCTAGCGTTAAACAAGGAGAGCAATAGTTTGTGACAAAGATATCCATAACGATTAGTTCAATTTTTCATAGCTACGTGGTGATAGTGTTTCATTGCCTACAAATCGAACAAATTGTCATTAACAAAAGAAGCTAATGAAGAGGATTAATTTGCGAAGTTTCGTGCTTGCATTTTTCAAATTTGATTCTCAAGTTTCTTTCTATGTTTCCTTTAACTTATGAAATATATATTTACAAGTTCTATTAAATAGAGGGAAGCATTAACTGAAACAATATTTAATTCGTCGTAAACCAAGCCTGAAACTTGAGTCTTGGTCGTACTTGGGCCTAAGTCTAAAATATAATAATTTGGAAATACATGCGTTGGTATGCAACGCAATTTCGATGTTTTTGAAGAAGTTATCAGATGATTTTTACCAGACTCCTTTCTTTTTTTATTACCGCCATCTTGAGATCGTTTGAATTATAATTTTTCCCAAACCTTACCCTTCACAGTGGCGAAAATAATTTATACGTTAGAGTTAAAATCAATGCGTACATGTAATATGTATGTTCGCATATGTATATATATACACAGAATATATAGACACGTACATATAGTTATCAGACATCAACCTCCTTGTTAATTTTATGATCCTAATACGAAATCGTGATTTAAGTTAAAAAAATGAGTGAAGCGGATCTTATTGTCCGTATACCTGTACCAGTTACACAAACGCGTCAATTCCTATGAATCTTTCGAATCGCATGCAACCAATCAGAAATACAAAAAAAAAAAAAAAAATACGGTTATAGAAATCGAATGAAACAAATGACCAGTCAATTTAAAAGAAATATCATTTTTCTTATAATCAGAAAAATCAATTTTTCTGATAATTCCAAAGTTTAGGGGTTTGCGCGTTGTTTTAACTCATTTGAAGGGTAAAAGGGGTGCGATAGTTCTTTCTTTCTTTTTTTCTGTCTTTTTCCAGCCCCAAGGGAAATCTGAGGTTGAGCCGTAGCGGAAGGAAGGCTAAAGGTGTGCAGATAACTACACGTAGACAGCGTAGGACAGTGGTCGCTTATTCGAAGTCGAGTGACAAGCTCGTAGCCCGATTCGATTGTGTTCGTTGGTTACTCTTTCATCGGGTTCCTCCGCGTTGGGAATTTTAGATTTGATTACAAAACGCGTCGTACTATCCTCCTACCATCGACATCGTCTCCTCCACCTCCCCTACAATCGTGCTTTTACCCTTGCCGCTAGCGATGGGATCAACACGTCCGCGTGTTGAGCTTTTACTTTTTACTTTTTACTCGTTTCTCCACCTTGCTATATTTTATGAAATGAAAGTATCACGTCGCTTTATAAAAGGACGATGCAGTCGGATAGTATTTATATAAAATAAGACAGTAGTTACATACGTCTCTTGATCTTAGTAATTAAATTCAATTAAGATCGTTCCCTCAACCATTCGATTTAATATTGAGTGATTTACATTTCGATTCGATATACGTTCATTGAATTACGCTGGTGCTATTTTCTTTCACAACCTTCCTCCATTTTTCACACAACTTGAACATTTCATCCTTCCAGAATCTCTCAGGTCTTTCGGCGAAAAACTTTTCAATATGATCTTTCATGTCGACCAAATTCCTTAAAAAATATATAAAAAAAATTGTAAGTATTTAAAGAATATTAATCGTAAAGGAAAATTGTTGCAGATTTGCAAACGGAGCTTATTGTGAAGAATTATTACAGGTTCTTTTAGATTCGAAATGGACCAGACCTATCATTGGTGTTTACATTAACTCGTACTAAGGCTATACACTTTTTTGTGTGACAATTACAATTACAATTACTAGATGTAAGTAGAAAATAGCATAAAGCTAGAATAAGAAGATCATTTCATTAACTTTATTCCTCGTTTGCAGAATTATACTAACATTATTCATGAAATTGTACAAGTCAAGTTACAGAATTATATATGGGACTCCTATATATAATAATAATCCTGTATAATCTTGTATAATCTATAATTTGTAATTTGTCAATTTACTAATATTATTAGTTGACTAGTGGCTAAAAGAATGTAGTAAAATCGAACAAAGAACGAACAGAGTCGGCCCTATCGCTACTTTTAGCCGCGTCTGCCACCCCATTCTGCCTGCACCGATGAAAAACTCTTGTTGCTCGATCGCGACGGAATTATTGGCCGACCGTGCTTATTTATGGCGTTCATTTTCCTGGAGATTGCAGGAGAAAACAGCTACGATCTCTCTTGCACTGGAACGATTTTTTTGCGGCAACACGTCGATCCACGATTTACGATATGTCAGCTGAGAAGTGAGCGGGACGTTGATAACGACGACACTTTGACGTGGAGGATCGTCGTGCACTGGTCTCGCGGCTAAATTAATTCCACGACTTTTGGATTTGTTCTCGAGCAAGAAAATATTCATTCAAGCCTCTGGTGACTGACGTTGCCTCTTTGATTCGATGATAGCGGTAGTCTTTTTTGGTTGAAGCAATAACAGGACCAGTGGATTTAGAATAATGCGTTCGGATCTCGTTTCAGTAAGAATTTTTAGACATATTATTATTATTTTTAGATGTCATAATTAGTAGATTATGGATGTGTTCATGGGAAATTTGAAGGCACAGAAATGTACAGAATGCATATTACACGCAAAAGTATATAAAATATATAAAATAGCATAATAGGTTCCACTTTTCTAATCGTGTTATAAAAATGTCAACTTGTATAAACATCCGCAGTTTAATTATTATTTTGCTACATTGTCTATATAACACCTAGAAATGTATATAAAAGTATAATTATTATTAAGTTTTAATAATTATTATTGAGTATCTGAATATAATTAATTACTATTAGCTATCGTAGTAACCATTTAAAAAAATATCTGCATTCAATTAATGCAATTTTTAAACGAGTACCGTATGTCTTGGGTCTTGGGGATCCAATAAAATGAATAACTATACGATTATTTCCTTTTTAAAATATGGTAGGTGAAGTTGAAATGAACAATAGTATTCTTCTAGTGCGTGAATAAAAGTCGTTATGGGTAATAAAACTCAGGTCATGGATGGAAACTCGGGTCATGGTCAACGATTTCATGGTGCATTAATTTCATTAACAAGGCTGAACCCTATTTACACCATTATCTTTCGGACAACAGCAGGTACGGATTACCCTTTCGACAAGTGCAGTGAACCTCCGTAAAATAATAAACAGGATCGTTACCATATGGTAAAGAGGCACGTTCCCCTAGTAGTAACTTAAGTCGATCGGTTTGATGTCTATCTGTTAGCATCTACCGCTCAGATATTTAAAGGAAGAAATAAATACAAATATTAAATAAAACAGGAAAATATTATTTTACTACGATATAAAATGAACTAATATTTTTCTATTTTATTTCATAGTTTTATTTGGATACTTTATGACAGTGTATAGACATTTGTTGGCACTAGTATTATGGTATAATATATCATTAGAGGGTAGCATATGTCAGTAAATTCTGCAAGTCCCCATCTAATCCTATTTAAAACGATGATCATGTATAATGCAGTGACTTCGTCTGTTGCGACACAGAGTCATCGAGACATGATTAATAACTTTTATGTTTCTCTCCATTGTCGCTACATACTCCCGTAAGAGAATTATTCTCTTGATTTATTGCCTATGGTGTTTATAGAAATTGTTGTTTCTTGTAGAAAATCGTTCCAATGAAACAAAATTTGCAGGAAGCCTGTGCCATTTGTAATGTCGAGTATTACCAAATATTAAAAACTAAATTAAAGTATTCCAAGTATCTGAATGTACGATTGCTTATAAAATCACCATGTCGCAAGTTAGAAAACAACAACAACAATTACAACAAGTTAGAAAAAAAATAAAGATGACGTTCATCCAATAAAAGTAACTGATTCCTCAAGATAGATATTTGGTTTCCCAAGTTGAACGAACCATTGGATCAATTTGTAACAGCGATAATTGTAGCAATAATTGAAAACTATAAATAAATAAATAAATAAATATATACAGCTCACTGGCAGTTAACGCTCGTACGGCACAAGTATTAAGGAGCAAATATAGAAAATACAGATAAAAGCTGTACACAGACCAAAATCGTAATCGTGGAATCGTGTCTTTATTACAGTGAAGCCACCAGGATGGGGACTTTTATTTGAAAACGCAAATCGTAAAGCATCGTTGACGAGGCTGGCGATAAAATGAAAGGGTGTGATATAGAAGATGGAACGAAGGGAATTACACTGTCGAGGAGGCAAGTGGATCCATGAAGGGATTACCAGGCAAATATTTATGTAGCTAGCCCCAACGGGGTGGTGGATCATCAAATTCCAATGACAAAACGGACATAGCCACCGATGGTGACAACAACCCCTACGAAGCATCGTGGGGTGTTATATCCACATATGTTACACCATTCGTGAGCTTTATGCGTGCCAGGGATCCCAAATTGCCGTCGCCCATAGGTGACAAGTAGAAACGGCGTGACTGTAAGTGAAACGCGATTAAATCCGATCGAAATCATCGTTCGTCCATGGGATTTAATCATTTCGCGAACGCTTCGATATGTTCTCGTTGCTCGGTTTCGGTGATCGTCCAAACGAACGATATTGGAGCTCTCGTTGGTACAATTTTGGTATACCGATGAAATTTTTGGTACACTGCATGATTTTTACAGATGAGAGTAGTTTGGAATTTTTTTGATAGTTTTTGTAAATGTTAATGAAGCAATCGTCGAGTAAGAGATTTGATTTAAAAATAGTCGTATTTCTTATATCTTCTAATTTTAGAGATTCGTAACTGGCTATGAGCAAAGATTTGTAATTAAAGTTAAACTTTTCCGATATTCTTTGTAAGTACTAACGAATGATAATATCACCAAGTAAATAGATTTGACTTAAAAATAGTCATGTTTCTTTCATCGTTCAAGTAAGTGTTAAGAAGCAAATATTTGTATTTAGTAATTGTTGAACATAATAGAATAATTGAAGAGCACCAACTTGAGCATTTTTTCTTAATCGAGCGGGGATTATTTTCTGGACAAGAAAAATCGAAAGGTGTCACGATATCGATTCGATGTTGATGGATGACGATTATTTTCTCGTGTCTGCAGGATGGAGCACCGTTCAGCCCACATCATTAGTTTCTGAAGGAGAGGATAAAAGAGTCATCTCGTAAAACCATCAATTTTATAGACAGGAACAGCTGAATGGGGCTCCCCATAAAAAAATCTAATTTATATTGGGAATGTAATATAAAACAATATACTTTACGACCAGTAATTCAAATGCGTAAAAAGCAAGGTAATTCAAGATGCAATCTTCTCTCTTTTTCTCTTTCAATAAATACAATTTAAATATTGCAGCTACATCTTGATTGCTATAAATCAATTTGCTATATCATTTTGCTTGATTGCTATAAATTTGATAATAATAAAAAAAAAAAACGGAACAGTTAACGATTCCACAAAGAATTTTCTAAAGGGTTCCTTTTCCAAAAATTGTTAAAGCTGACACGCGTCAGTTATTCCTAAGGAATTCACTGGAGACTGGGAAGCATTTTTCTGATAAACAGGCTACTACACCTTATGAATGCTTGATGATGGTGTTTCACGAGTCGTCTCATCCCCCTTGCATCTCAAGGGCGAATGATTGTCCTTGTCACTCCTTCGTCGTCGTCTCTTTTCGCTCCTTGAAGGCACCCCGCAACATTTTCTACCGCTTTCGTTTCCGCGCTACCTTCTCTATCTCCATCCTCCGGGATCTGCCAGAACCAATCGTCGTCGAGGACTGAAACGAGGTGTGGTAAATCGTTCTCCTCTCCCTTCGCTTTGCCAAGCTTAACCGAGAAAAGATAAATCACGATTATTGAAATTAAATTTAATATCCGCCGACATGCAATAGTATTGTTTCCTTTGTTAATTCTAATTATTTTTCATTGTTTAAACAGAACAACAAGTTATATGACAAGTCTTCTGTAGAAGAAGCATATCAAATGAAGGTAATTCACTAAATTTTCTGTGAGATGTTTCGTCAAAGTCAAACCGTCAGCCGACATACTTATATCGAGCACTTTCAAATTGTTATTAAACTGTGTATTGCTATTTTTCAAAATTTGAAATCGATCCGTTAGAAGCTTCCTTTTCTTCGAAGCAGTTAAGGATTGACGGAATTGACCGAATCAAGATTCAAGGTAATAAAATTTGAACGTTTTCATACTATAAACCAACTGTAAATTGATAATATATATGTATTTTTTAGATTGTTAATAAAGCAACCCTTCGTTAGATTGCCTGAACCAAGATATTTTACATTCAGCAAAAATCTCAACCAAACAAGGATTGGTCGACTCGATCGAGACATCTTACCTTACAATATCTTACAATAAACACACTGCAAGTTAATAACACATATCTTTCATATTCTTAATAGAACAATCCTTTGTTAGATAGTCTAAACCAAGAATCCAACTTTAATAGAAAAATAAATCGAATAAGGGTTGATTGAATTGGGACTAGAAGTGAATCTCGTTTCCATCGTAAACCTATACATCACACAATAATTATGAAGCACCAATTAACTGCTATTAAAGTCTACTCAAGATTCCACATAATTTCATCCAAAGCCAGGATAATGTTAAAGAAACGACTATGTTGAAAACGTTGATGTTCGACGAATGATATATTCTTGTATTATTTAGCAGTTTATCGAATGTAAACGTAAGCGTGGTAGTGTGGATGGTTCGGTAAAGTTGTTTCGTACAATCAAATATCTATCTGTTGTTTCCACCCCTGTAGAACTAGCATCCCGCCTCCTGCCACCGCCAATCGTCGGCGAGCAGAGAAACGAGGGGTGGCGAAGCGATCCCCTCTTTGCTCGTGGAAACCCTCCCGAGAAGTATTGACCCGGGATATCTCTCTCTCTGGCCCCGCAGATAAGCGAGAAAGGTCAGAGCCATCATGGCCCCCGGCGGCTCTTCCTTTTTACCTGACGCTCCTTTCAAGATTTTACGCCTTGGAAATCATTCTGCGAAAATAACCTGTCTTCGTCGACTATCCTTTTCGCTGCTGTCAGAGATTATTAATTATTGATTTACAAATTATCTTACAAATTTCTATGCTTAATACGTTTCAAATACTTATTTGGGAGTTGTACGATCTTTCATTCCAATTTTTCTGTATCTTCTTACGAATTTTTCACATCTAATGTTGACTCTTCTTGAGTCCGTTTCTCTTTTGAATGGATGTAATTCAGTTAGTTGGAATATCGTGAATCTTTCAACATATTCTCCGTTTCTGTAATAATTTCACCTACTTAGAATTTTTATATCCTCCATCTCTGTTATCGCTTAAAATATTCCGTATATTTTGCCGATTAGTCATTCGTTTATGACCTTTTCTCAACGTTGATTGACTACCATTATGCTTCAAAGTATTTAGAAAGCTTTTAAAAGTATACTTTTAGAATTATGTACATACTTTCTTTGTGTTTCTAAAGTTAGTCTAAATATTAAAGTCTTCCTCTTCTTGTAATTTTTTATGTATTTTAGTATCAATATTAACCTTTTGAGTGCTGATTATTCTCGGTGGAAGCAATCTGTACCTAGCGGTTGCGATCGTTAGGTACAGAATACTTGTTTTAATAAAAAGTAATATAATGATTCATATACGGCACTACTATAATATCCTTTTGCACTTCGAGCGCCCCGATAATCTACCAGGAACTCCTAATTATTTTTACATGGACTACTAGTTACTCCGGGATTATTTACAATCGTATTTATAATGCAGCCACAGTGGTGATAATGGAGTTGTTAGTTTCGCTTAGAATGTCGCCACAGCGGCTACAACGGAACTGTTAGATCCACCTACGATGTCGCCAAACGGAGTACAAAAGGATATTATTCGTACTATTCTGGCGGTGTAACAAGAATTACAACTCTCCGCGATGCATACAGAAGACAAACGGACTTTCATTTTTATGTTTATTGTCGTTGTTAAGAAATGCACACGCATCATCTCATACGATAAATGAAAGAATTTTCTATTATATCATGCTATATTTTATCATTTTAAAATGAAGATGTAAGATAAAGATTAGGTGGGTACAGTATATTCTGTGGATGGAGAAGCATAGTATTTAGAGCTTAGTAACCGATATAATGATCTGGGTTGTGCGAGCTAGTTAATTAGTAAGCATTTTGGCAATTAGGACCAGGGTTGCGCGATAGTTTCGTCCGCCGCGTATATAATTAAATTCAGAATCTGCATAAACGCAGTTTACATAAACCGTGTTTCCGCCTCAAACACTATAACAATATCTTATGCATCTCTTAACGCTTATTCCATTCCAAGAACTATCCACGCCGAAACTTTTTAATTCGTATGGAATATGCACGAACTAAAAGTAATTTCTCTCGAAAAGTATCACTTCTATTTCATTTTTATTTTTGTCCATTCGATGCTTAAATAGAATATTAAATTTCCAGCCATAAATTTGCAAATTGCAAATTTGAGATAACCTTGTTGCAAAAATATTACTTCAATTTGTTCGAACAGAAAATTAATATTTCGGTCAGAAATGTATAAATTACGAATATAATTTAACCATGTACCTTCTAAATTTTCTCCTATTGCTTACTTATTACCCTAATATATTTTTTTATTCTATTTCAACTTGTTACTTTTATATTTCAACTTCAAGAAAATAAATAGAAAGTTATGTTCGAAACTAGTAAATTAATCATTCTGACATTTACTTAAGTATTACCCTTAAGTATTACTCCCTAAACTTGTAAATTACAAATTTAACTTAATTATTTATCAAAGTTCCGTTGTTACTATTTTAAACGTACTATTTTAAAGTACAATATATAAATAATTTATATATACAAATAATACATGGAAAATTTTAGAGAATTTCGGACTATCTTAAGGTTCGAGTAAATAAATAAAGGACTATATTTCCCAGAATAAATTAATAATATCGACATTTGCTTTCATCTAACTTTCAAGATAATACAAGAAGAAGAAGAAGAAGAGGAGGAAGAAAGATGGTATATATGTATACATAGCGTATTTCATCAAAGTGTTAAAGTATTAAGATAGAGAGTGAGTGAGTCGGATGAAACGCGTGGCAAGTGTTTCGTATAATTTTCAAGGTGGAAGTACACGAAGCTGTTCCCTCATACATGACATCACTAGATCAGGGGTCGTAACAGCGCGGTGCCCAGCACCTTATTGCTACCTACCACCTTGCTACCCTCTCATTCCCCTCAACCCCCTTGAATCTCTCACTGCGCCATCGACCTTTCACCAACGATACCCCTGTGTACGTACTGTGTGCACACCTGTCTATTTACTTCTTCATGTAAACTTCCACTAACACAAGCGAGACGCTGCAGTAACGAGACTCAACCCCATCTTACCCCCTGGTGGTCGTGAACGTGCGAGGGAAAGGGAGATTGAGAAAGAAACGGAGGAAAAGGAAATACTATAGAGAAAGGAAATAACGATGGAAGCAAGACGAAATGTCACGTTTTTCTTTTTACATATTTTAGTCGTTAAAGGGCGAGTTGCGTTAATTGTTGCAACGTTTCTTTTACATTTTCTCTCGCAGATAATTTAGATATTGCAATTTAATAGATAACGATTTAGAGATTCTAGTTCATCCAAGTTTATACAATTATACAGAGATAATACAATGGATAGATGATTGAAATATAATTTAATTAAATTTTTTTAGTTTTACAAAGTTTCAAAAAATTCATCTGACTATCGTAAATTATTTTTCCTTTAAAATATTTTTGGATGCTTCGATTCGTGTAGTGAGCTTCTATAAAATATCTTTTAGTAACGTAATTGTCTTCTATTCTTACGTATTACGTATTGTATATTTGGTTGTTAAATGAGATAACCGCATCAAGTGAAACATAGCCTACGATTTTCTTTCGAATTTCGCTTAATTTGACGAGGAAAGCAATACGTCAAATTCATACACGTTAATATATTATGAGCAAACCGCGAGAATTTTGCAAATTAGTGCTTTTATCATCATAACCAAAGAAATGAAGCTTAAATATAGATTCGTTTCATCCACCAAATATTTATTTTGAATATTTTATATATTTTCGCACATTATGTAGATTCCGCACATATTTGCACCTTTAAATTTCTTATATAAGCGCGGTTCAATTATAACACTCGAATTGAAGAGACTTGAGTAATCTGAACGAGACTTAACACAGAAATGAATAGAACGATCAAATTTTTGATCCACCTTCTATTTCCAATATTTTTCAATTAATAACAAATTCTCGTACTTCGTCGAAATATTTTACGGCATTAACGTAGGAATGATTGTCTGCACGAGCCTCGTGACTTCCCGAAGCGCACAAAGAACTTTTCTATGCTACTAACAATAAGTCAGCTAGCGTTAATGAGCGAAATTAACACCTTTGCTGCGTTTAATATTTAAAATGGAAAGCAACGATTTAATTTGAAAACCAGTTTCTTCCACCGAACAAACACGTGTCGCTTGCCGATACTTTGTCGCTGATTCGAGAATTTCATCTTCGTTTCTCGTCCATTCTATTCTTCGTATAGATAGGTATTTCGCTCGCTTTGTTTGGAAAGGAGTGAAAACGAAAATGTAGAAATGAAACGTGTTTTCAGAAAGCTTATCTTACGTCTTACCTAACGTGTGTTTATGACTTGTATATGTTTAAAAATGTATATAAAGGCATTCATGCGCGTATGTAGATATACTACACGAAGACACGCAAGCTCCGTATATTCTTCGTCTACGAGCAAATGCTACCACCTAACTCCAGATTAGTGT